CATACTTTAAACCTCTATTCTTCTAAGTAATAAAAACATCAACCAAACTATATTTTACAGAAGCAAGAAGCTTTTGACCTCCAGACTTGTAATAAGAGTTCAACTGAATCATTTTGAGGTTTGCAAAAAGTAGCGCAAACATCTGTAAACATTAACAAATGTCATAATCAGATAGTAGTGTAGTGGTGAACACTACATAAAAACATGACAATAGAAGCTTTGATTTTGTTCTGTTGTATTCATCAGGACATGGCCCATGTATAAAGATTACAGTTTTTAAATCGTGATAAAACCATCTGCCCTTTTCGTCATTACAGCTCCTGCATGTACACAGCAATAAAAACAGTCGGGCTGCTCATTGAACACAAATAAAAAATGGGAACTAGTACACACGCAGTCCAATTACCTCTACCCAGAATACACTGAAGTATTGGCCGATATATCAAGGAACCGATGACCCAGTAACCTGTTTCTGAACCATCTTCTACTGGAGTATTACAAGGATTTCTTCACCCAAATCTCCATCATCATTGTGTCATTGGTTCTCCGATGGTACCTGTACGCAGTTAGTTTCAGTTGTGCTTTAATATCAAGCAATTAGAAGTAGATTTCTGGCAATGGTCTATTCATGAACTGATCAATGTTTATTGATTCCAATCTCCCTCCTGGTGCCTGCAGTGTGTGTTTTGCTGCTAGATTGGGCCAGCAACTGTGACTGCGAGCCAAGCCATCATCAACGGACAGGCCTTGTTGCTAGCCCCTTCTGCCAGAATATCTCCTCACAGAGAATTAAGCCAATCATGTTTGATTACAAACTAGAATATAATAAACCTATTATTGAATTTCCATCCTCTCTTGACCCGTTGACGCCTTCTTGGGCTTTAATTCAATCCAAGAGACATCCATGGCAATATTCCAATACGTATTATCCAGGGTTGGACTCTGGAACTATGATAATCTTATTTCCTAATGTTCTATTCATGTTAAGTCAATGGCCTGTATTATGATTTCTAATCAATATTTCATTGCACAAGGAAAAAAAGATTGGCTTCATGACCTTTGATAACCGATAAAAGCTCTTGATGACTACAATGATGAACACAATCTTGTCTTTACACACTGCTTCAAGGTTACCCTTAAAATAAAACATCCCCGGGAATCTGGGACAGAACAGGTCACAAGTACCCACACATGTTGTAAGCTTCAGTTAAAATCACCATCTCACAGTCCCTGAACCACATTATAATACCTACTGCCAAGTCCTCCCTGTAATGCAAAAGCCCTAAATGAAGCAAGTCTAGAACTCCACAGGTTCGGTCTGAATCTCCCGTCTCACCAGGGCTCCTTTTCAATTTAAATGGGATTATTTGTTACTGCAAAAATTATATATATTCAGAGACTTAGGGTAAGTCTACTAGAGACCATAATGTCTGACTTCTCAAACTGTAGGGGCGGTGGGATAGCCTAGTGGTTAAAGCGTTGGCTCGTCACGCAGAAGACCCGAGTTCGATTCCCCACATGGGCACAATGTGTGAAGCCCATTTGTGGTGTCCCCAGCCGTGATATTGCTGGAATATTCCTAAAAGCGGCGTAAAACCATACTCACTCAAACTGTATGTCATTGTCATGTAAAAGGTCAATCATTGCTCAAACCATCAATCACTGGATTGCATGTCCCTAGGATGATTATTTCAAGGTTGCTTTAGTATACATGATAAAGCTGGGAAGTTGCTCACAATTGTGTAAAAGACCATACCTTCACTCATTTAAAAGCATGTTAATCTGAGGCAGCCTGACAGTTATTCAGCAGTCAGGGTCACCTCCATTTTGAAAAGTGAGTGAGTGAGTGAGTTAAAATTTAACGTCACATTGGCAATATTTCAGCCATATCGTGACGAGAACAATTAATTTTCTACATAGTAAGTAATGGTAAACTGTAAAAACCTGTCAACGAAGGACAGTAAAATAACTAGAATATCACAGATTCGAAATTAAAACTAGTAATTAAATCTAAAACATTTCAACTATAGGGGACAGCACAATATAAAAATAGGCTATAGATCACCAACAACTGAAGGTAGATCACCATACTAGGGACCATGGGGACTTAGAGTACCTTTGCTACCTGCATGGACATTTTGAAAAGTGAAAGAGTTAATGTGAAATGAATTATCCAAAACTGAACTGTAATGTCTGTGAGTGTCATTTAGAGAGAGTGAGGAAGGTTTTATGCCACTTTTAGCAATATTCCAGCAATATCACAACGGGGCACCCCAGAAATGGGCTTCACACATTATAACCATGTTCGGAATCGAACCTGGGTCTTTGGCGTGACGAGAGATTGCTTTAACCACTCGGCTATCCCACTGCCCTTATTTAGAAAATGGCGCTATGAACGAGGGAAATAGTTGTATATAGAAGTTGTATTTTTGTATATTCTATCTCCTTTGCTGAACAAAGTGTGTTCTGGTCAGTTGCACTACACTATACTATACTTACTTATTGTGTCATCCAACCTGCTTATTGACCATGGTGGCACAACGTAAACCAAACACTCATTTATCAGATGGTACAAATAAACATAACATTGGGTTTCTTTTATACAGATAAAGGAATGAGTGAGTGAGTTTGGTTTTACGCCGCTTTTAGCAATATTCCAGCAATATCACGGCGGGAGATAAAGGAATGGGATTTGTTAGTTTCTATTTGGATTATTGCCACAGTAATATTTCAGTTATAATATTGCTGACAGTCCCAGACAAATGAGTGACTGAGAGTGTGAGCAATTGTCCATGCCAGAAAGTTTAATGACAATCACTCAACTGGGTTACCATACGTGACTACCTGATCCATTTAAATGCCACTAACAAAAATCATAACCCCATGAAGATCTGGGTTAAAAATGGTCTTTAGCAACCAATGCTTGTCGGAAGATGTAACCAACAAGATCAGATGGTCAGACTTGTCAGAATTGGTCGTCAGCAACCCATACTTGTCGTAAAAGGCGACCAGACTCCGCGACCAGACTCATGCCATCATATCCCAATTGCATAGATTGATCCTCCTGCTATTGATCACATGATTGTCAGGTCCAGGCTCGATTATTTACATATAGCCAGAGGTACAGATAAGCTGCGTATCTGCGTAAATTACGCAAATATTTATGTGAAAACTCAATTCCTATTAAGTCTATTGCGTACAAGTACGCTTGAATTTTTGTAAATACTCAATAAATGTGATCTTACACGCGTACACACAAAAATGTCAAATCTTAATATGCGTACCTGTGGATAGATACTATAACTGAGGTATACTGAGAGGTTCTATTTCAGGATATGAACTTGACAACTTGCAGTTTTTCTTATCGCTTCTCATATTACAGATCAAATATAAATAAAAAACACTCAAATTTAAACTTTATTATATTTTTAAATTATTGGAAAATGGCAAAATACCCAATTGAGTTTGAGTGAGATGAGTACAATTTATTTGGTTACTCAAAGGAAAATTAGGATACCCAATTGAGATGAACACAAGCGAGTACATAACTCAATGACCCAAAAAGTTATCTGTAGCTCTGTATAGCTTGAATATTGCTGATTGTGGCGTTAAACAACAAACCAACCAACAAGACTTGGTGACTTGTCATCAAACATCCAAATTGCATGGATCGATGCTCATGATGTCAATCACTGGATTGTCAGGTCAAGTGAGTGAGTGAGTGAGTTGGGTTTTACGCCGCTTTTAGCAATATTCCAGCAATATCACGGCGGGTGGACACCATAAATGGGTTTCACACATTGTGCCCATGTGGGGATTCGAACCCGGGTCGTCAGCGTGACGAGCCGACGCTTTAAACATTAGGCTACCCCACCGCCCCGTCAGGTCAAGACTTGTTTACTTACAGACTAGCGTCATATACCTGGAATACTCTTGAGTGCAATGTTGAACAACAGTACGATAAATTGGCAGTAACAGGTTACTTGGCCCTGAATGGCTAAGCATTGATGACCCTTCGTTACCTTGGAATGCAGCCAGGTTGCCCATTTAGTTTGAACACTGCATTTGAATTTAAAGATAATACTTTTCACTTTTTTTTTAGGTTTGCAGATTGAAAGCCATGGAATTCTTGTTCCAAAGACAACTCTTCACTTTTTTCGTTTCAAATCATTCATGAAGGACACAAAACACAGGTTATCTTTCCAGGCATTTTCCTGTTTTTCAAAATGCAGGTTGACAGAAGCAAAATAATCAATCCTTGTTGTCAGTGATATGATCATAGGCTTTAAGGAATCACAAGAACTCAGCTTGGCTAAAGTGGCCAACAAGACGTTCAGTAAACAACAACTACAACATGGCTGCCAAGCCAGGGCACAACACTAGGAGCAAAGATAATCAACCAGCATGGATGCACATGCTAACCTCTCTAAAATCATTATCAGTGTTACTATGAGTATGTTAAAAATTTAAAGTTGTCATCAATGTTTCAGGAATCTTGCAACTGCTTAAGACAACCACTCCTAAACAGGTAAGTGAGCAAAGCAATCAAATGTTTGAGGTAATGGAACAAAACAATTTACAAACATATTTTACTACAGTAACCCTAATGGATGGTTATACTACAGACATTTCAAAAGCACTTCAGTTGGCAGGACGAGTCCTGTTTCACAAAGCTGTCGTAGCGCTACGACTGTTGTAAGTCTATGTTACAGTATAGGAGTTACGACAGTCGTAGCGCTACGACAGCTTTGTGAAACGGGGCCCAGGAGGGCCTAGATCCCATTCCTCAAAGTCATTTGAGCCCTGAGGTTCCAATTCTGCAACATACTTTGAGGAACAGGCTAAGAGCCTACTTGTTCAAAACTGTCTTAGTGCTGAGATGATCGTAACTCCCATTCTTTATCACAGACTTACGATTGTAGTACTACAACTGCTTTGTCTGAGGAAGACACCTTGGACAAACTCGGCCTGACCAACATATCAATGGTGATGAGACTGACCTTTCCGATGCATTGCTTGAGTATACTCCAAATACTGAACTCTTGGCGGGAGAACATAGGCACTGGGAGGTGGAGTCTGAAACAGAACAACACAGGGTTCAACAATGGTAGTCAAGTCAGTGAGTTGACAACACTTACAACATCATCCAAGTTTAATATCATAATGTCGGTTTTATGTAAGAGTGAATGAGTTACAAACATTTTACGCCCCTCTTAGCAATATTCTACTCCCCTCTTAGCAATATTCTAGCAATTATCACAGCGAAGGACATAAGAAAAGGGCTTCAGAAATATCACCCAAGTGGGAAATCAAACACGAATCTTCGGCATGATGAGTGAACACTTTAACCACAAGGCTACCCCATCGACCCACTCACATGTGAGAGCCGACCCAATTAATGTTGGTGTCATATGGTATTTTCTTCAGTTTCAACCTCTTAGCTAGTCTGTCTCACAGTCCCTGAACCACATTATTTTCTCTACTGCTAAGCCCTCTCTGCAGTGCTAAAGCCCTAAATAAAGCAAGTCTAGATTTCCTCAGGTTCAGGATCTCTGGTCTCCCCGGGGCTCCTTTTCAATTTAAATGGGCTTGTTTGTTACTATCAAACTTATATATATATATTCAGAGACTAAGCATTAGTCAACCTTTTAGCTGGGGTATGGTGCTGACAAATTCAGACCATAACCAGGGAGGATTGAGCTTCAAACCTTAAGGTGTTTGGCATGTCTATGGGATGCAACTCAACAGTGAACTGCGTCACCAATGATGGCGCCATTGGTGACTCCCTACAGAAAATCAACAGTGATAGAGGTGTTATGCCTTACTGAGACAAGTGATGTGTGCACAAAGATCAATATGTTCAATTAGATACTTAACTAGTAGGGAAAGCACTTAGTGGCTTTGAGTGGCTAAACCTTCATTTGTGCACCTTCAAACTGTGACTACACCTCTCCGCATCAAGATCTGTCTAACCCCACCTCAGGTGAAACTCTCTTGTCAGTGAACCAGTGACAGACTGCAAATTTTTACACATTTTCAGGAACCATTTTTTTCCTGCTATTTAAGGGTGAGTTCATTTTCTGAAGCACTGTAGTCAAAAACATACGGTAATTCACCTTTGGTCTTTCCTATTGTACTCACATTTTCTCGCAACATTCTGTAAATTATCCTTTTTTTAACTGAACTTATTGAACCATTTGCACTTGATCACACTAGCGCACCAACCTTGCGAGTGATAGAAAAAAAAAGGTCAAAAGATTATCAATTTAAAAAAATTCACAAACTTACAAAATTTGACAACAATCTGCCTCTGCCATTCCTCTCATCCTTCACTACGGTGCCTCACATGAATACAAATTATTGATAATATTCTAAATCAGCACTGTTTACCAAAGTGTTTAACACACATGGCACATCTATTTCCAAGTGCAACCTACTTTTCACAGTGTTTTAGTTCACATGACAAATACATATTCAAGTGGAACCTATGTTTCACAGTGTTTTAGCACACATGTCACATCTATATTCAAGTACACTGCCTGTGTTCAGATACAAACGCCATCAGCTCAGACAGTTGGCAGTGGACTGAATACTAAACAAATCATCTCCACAGCCATCACGTTGACAGAGATGTACAAATCATGCATGTCATTGTCCGTGTCAGGAAACTATCCCCCTCTGTTCGTTATATGAATAACCCATGCACATACAAGCTCCCAGAAGAGTGAGTATGGTTTTACGCCACATTTAGCAATATTACAGTAATATCATGGCGGGGAACATCAGAAATGGGCTTCACACATTGCGTCCATGTGGGGAATCGAACCCGGGTCTTCAGAGTGACGAGCAAACACTTTATCCACTAGGCTACCCCGCCGCCCCAGTTCCCAAAAGAACAATGTACCTTATGTTAACTACTCAAAACAATGATTAAACATTGACCTCAACCATGTACTATCCTGACCCAGATATGATAAACCGTTTACAAAATTTCTCAATTTAATCTGTTTTCGAAAGGGTGACATAATATATACACAAAAGCTGATCTGCAATGAAATACGTTTACTAGGCATTTATTAAACATGTTTAATTCTTGCTTAGGCCAAACCAATTTTATTTCTTGTTTTACAGATTGTTGTCCTTAGAAAACCTAAAGGCAGGAGGAAAAACAAATAAAAATAAAATCACCAGTCAAATTAATATTCTCTTTAAATACTAAAAGTATTTTACTTTTGGCCATTTATGAAGTGTATAAGGGGCAAAAACAATCTAAAAACAATTTCGTGCACATTTACATTTTTGGCCAATAAAAATATTAAAATATTATTTTTTTGAGCAGGGAAAATTACTTTTTATTTTTTTTCTTATTCTTGATAAAATATGTCAGGCAGATCCGAAAACAAGAAATAAAATTGGTCTGGCCTTATTTTAAATGATGGCCATGAGTGGAGTGGGACCAGTCTGCAATTTGCTGTGTGGAGTTGGTGTTGCAGACTCCAATAATGAGTGAGTTAGGTTTTACGCTGTTTTCAGAAATATTCAAGCACTATCACAGCAGGGAACACCAGAAATGGGCTTCAAACTCTGTACCCATGTGGGTACAATGACCTGACGTGAGAAGCAACGTATTAACCACTTGTCTACCCCACCGCCCCGTTTGAATAATGGCTTGTCCCAATTATGTCTCTTGGTCTGCCAACACCATACAGAAGCTCTTGGGTATGCCAAAAGTGGTATTATTTGAGACCTGTATCCCTTCAGTCTTTTTTCTGGGGTAGCCCCAGTTAAAGTGTTCGCTCATCATGCCGAAGGCCCAATTCGATTCCCCACATAGGTACAATGTGTGAAGCCCATTTCTCATGTCCCCTGTCATGATATTGTTGGAATATTGCTACAAGTGGCGTAAAACCGAATTCACTCACTTACTCAGTCTTTCTTCCCACATTAGGCTGACACGTCTAGATATAACTGGAACACTTCCAAAGTGGTAGAAAACCCAACTCACTTTCTTGAATAATTATACTCAACCCTGAGAACATTTTCAATTTCTATAGTTCATATCATGGATCTCTTCACACTGACAATCAAAATACTTGTATGTAAACAAATGAATTATCTGCAGTGACTTTCAAACTAAATACAAAGGTTTATCATGTATTTATCCATGGTCAGGCAACATTCATGTAGCATATAGCTTGAAGGCAGGGCTCGTTTTAAGAGATGTTCACCTACTTGCACCAGGTGCAACCTGAGATGAAAGCCTAGTTGCACTGACCAAATTCCTGTTGCACTGCTTTTATTGTGATTTGTAATGAAAGAAATATGCTATTGAATTATTTAGGTGTTTTATTCAGAGGTTTACCCACTCAAAAATTGACCTGGTGCAAGTTAGACTAATAACTAGGTTGCATTTTGCACTATTGGATTGCACCAGTGCAAGTAACAAAGCACTAAATCGAGCCCTGGAAGGTAATGGTCTTTAAATAATCTGGAATGGTCATTGTCCACTTGGATCTGAATCCCTGTTATCACTGTAATATATGGAATTAAAATACACAGTACCCCTTACTTCGTTTGTTTAATGCTGCACTCAGCAATATTCCAGCAATATGATGGCGGTCTGTAAATAATTAAGTCTGAGCCAGACAATCCAGTGATCAACATCATGAGTACTAATCTACGCAGTTTGGATATGATGACATGTGTCAACCAAGGGCGTATGGGTATGCGCTTTAGAACTCTGGGGTTAGTGGGGTAGTCTAGTGGTTAAAGTGTTCGCTTGTCACGCAAAGGTTCGATTCCCCAAATGGGTACAATGTGTGAAGCCCATTTCTGGTGTCCCCCGCCGTGATATTGCTGGAATATTGCTAAAAGCGGCGTAAAACCATGCACACTCACCCACCCACATTGAACTCTGGTTTTACACTGCAGGCAAAAACATTCCATTTTTATCATGACTACCTGTAAATAACTGACTGACTGACTGAGTTATGATTTACACCGCTTTTAGCAATATTCCAGCAACATCACGGCGGGGGACACCAGAAATGGGCTTCACACATTGTACCCATGTGGGGATTCGAACCCCGGGTCTTCAGCGTGACGAGCCAACGCTTTAACCACTAGGCTACCCCACCGCCCCACCTGTAAATAACTGAACATCTGACAACCAGTGTTGTCTGTCTGAGAGCCACGCGACATGCAGTGAACCAACTCATCACAACTAACACCAAATGCAATATCAACAAGCAATAACACTTTGTGGGCCTATTCTAACAGGGTTTATGCCAAGAATATGCATGACATTTACCATGAACAACCGTCATATATTGCTGTTAAGATGGTAAAAAATTCCAAATTAAGGATCGGTCCATACTTTCAGTCAATGTATGAAATAGTCTATAGAGACTGCAACCTTTTCGTCTCTCACTACCTTGAGTACGTATGAGTCATGTCACTAGATATGATGTTTTACCAATAATACACCAGGCTGATCAGCTGTCAATCAATCTGTCAGGTCAAGGTGTATTGATGACAGGCAGCAGGTGGGATAGTCGGAACAGCCAGATGTTGTCAGGCAATTAGTTCTACTCCATCACAAATATCGTGTGAACATACACACTGATAACATGACTACTTCTGTTTAGTAGGGTGTGGAGTAGCCTAATGGTTAAAGTGTTTGCTTGTCACACCACAGGCCCAGGTCCAGTTCCAGGGCAAGCTATAACAACAGCAACACAGACACCCGCAGTGATCAATGTCTTCACACTGGAGACCTTTCATCTCCACAACCACAATTCAAATCTTTCTGACACCAGCATACACCTTCATTAGTGCACCTTCAAACTGTGACTACACCTCTCCGCATCAAGATCTGACTAACCCCAACTCAGGTGAACTCTCTTGTCAGTGAACCAACGATTCTGTCGGTTTCTGTCTGATCTTACAGATTTTAAGGAACCATATTTTCCTGCTATTTAAGCATGATTCATTTTCTGAAGAAATGTAGTCCAATTCATCCAGGCAATTCACCTTTGGTCTTTGATATTAAACTCATATTTTCTGGCAATATTCTG